ATAAAACCTGTTTAAGTCTGTGACTGTAACATTGCATCAATGGGGGAAAGACTTCCTTTCCAGAAAGGAACTTCCTTTCCAGACTTCCTTATTGTGTGTTATATGAACACACAACACAGGTTCCCATGCTGCAGTCTTTTGCTTTTCTTCTTCTCCCCTGTTCAGAGTCGATGTTTAGCGCATGCTGCATGAACACCGCTGTCAAAAAGTGCAGCATATCAAAAGTCATCACAGAAAACTTCATTTTTAATTCATGCTGGGTTTGACTTTGACGCCATCAACGGTTCTCAAACTGGGACAGGAAGATGTTTACCCCTGTGTTACATCATCTCTTTCAGCTCTGTAACGGTAACTGAAGGGATCAGTTGCTATAGTGTTTCTTAGTCTTTCATGACGGAGGATTTGGGCAGCTTAACCAAATAGGACACTTTTCTTATGTTATGTTACTTTTTTCCCCCTTTTTATTGTTCAAAACAAAAAGTCCAATTTGCAGCCGAATTCGTTTAAAGCGTTCCCTCGTACACGGCCACACTGTTACAACATGCGGTAGGGGGGACGAAGAGGATGACGTCGCTGAGCTGACGGCACTAAGTGTCGCTTCAGTTCCTGAAAAATGTGAAAACGTTTGTTAAACTTTCTCATTTTAGAATCTGAATTTCATCTCTCAGCCTTTAGATGTGTCAGACCAGGCAATGATTTCCACTACAAAACCACCGCCTGGGGGCCAGAAGGTTCTCACTATGCAGCACTATTTCTTGTGTGGAGGCTATCTAGGTTTCTTGGGTGATATTACGTGCTATACACTGCAACATCTTCAGTCAATCTCTCTATTTGTAGCAGGAAATGTTAATAGTGGTGTTTATTTAAATATTAATAGTGCCATTAATTTAAAAAAAAGCTGAGTTCTGTTACCTCATGTTTCCCCCCCCCCATGTTTTATCTTCCAACCCCCAAAACAAACTTCAATGTGTTTTTATTAAGTTTTAATGCGACAAACACAAAGACTTACATATTTGTGTGAAGTAGATATAAAAGGTTTTCAAGGAATGAAAAATTGGAGTAGTTTACCTTTCATTGGCATTCAGCTCCCCTCAGCCGCTACTCTGTAGAAGCACTTTTTGCTGCAATAGCCTTTGGGGATATGCCCTTCTAGCTTTGCACATGTAGAAATGTTTATTTTTTTGTTTTTTCCTTCCAAACAAGCCCAAGTTCAGTCAGATTGGAATTGAAAACGTATTTGAACACAAATCTCCGCTGGATTTAGCTCTGAACTTTGTTTAGGCCATTCTAACGCGTGAATTGGTTGTGAGTTAAACCCCTGGTCTCTCAAACAGCTGGAGGCTCCCTTTGCAAACCTACAGACAATGCTGTAATCATTATTCAAAACCAGATTCTAAAAAAAAAAACAAAAAAACAATAATAATTTAAAATTATGGTTTAGACATTAACTGAATTAAATACTTACATTTTTGCTTTTTTGTTTCTCTTCTCCTTCCCTCCAACTTTCTACTTTGAAAAACACTGTTCTAATCTAGTCATTGCAGCTCTGGCTTCAAAGTATGTTCCTGTTGAAACAAAAGCAAGCCCACAGCATGATATTACCACCACCATGCTTTATAGTGGAAAAGATGTGTTTGGTGTTATCTGCAGTACTTAAGGTAGCAGAGCACCTTCTTCCAAATGTTTGCAGTCTCCTCTAGTCGGCTTGAAGCAATCCTTTAATGAGATTTCTTTTAATGAGCTGCCAGGCCTCAAGGATACTTTCCGATTAACGCTCTCTTTGCCCAGCAAGGTGTCAGATCGAAATGATCTCTGCGAGTTGGTCAGAACTGATGTTATTTATTTTAAAGCCTGCACCTGCTTTAAACTCCTCCATAACTTTATTCCCACGTGCTGCGTTCGCTGCTTCTTCATGCAGTTTGTTTACCGATGTCCTCAGAGGACCGTCTGAGCCTGTCACAGAGCAGCTGCATTCATAATGAGATTAAATTACACACAGCTGGACTTCATTTACTAATTAGGCGACTTCTGAAGGTGGAGGGGTGCGGCGGATTTGCTGGAGGAGGATCACAGCAAACGGGCCGCACAAGAAATGCGCGGCACGCGTTTTGAAGTTTTAATTTGTCGAGAAGTGAAAAAAAATTACGTGCGTCCTCTTCCACCTCTTGTTCGTCTATCACATAAAGCTGGCTTGAAGGTGCAAAAATTGGAGAATGTTCAAGAGATGTGGATACTTATGCGGAACCGCTCGCTCTGTGCTGGAGACGTGTAATGATGGCGAGGCAAAGCCTCACGTTCGGTTCCAAGCGACACGTTGGAGGTCATCGTTTCCTACCTGTTGGACACGGGCCGCTCTCTGATCTGGATGGTGCTGAGCTCCTGGTTGTTGGTGCTCGGCAGGCTGAAGCTGCTCTTCTTCCTGTGGCGCCGCGAGCAGCAGGAGCTGAGGCCGTGCGGAGACGAGGACAACGAGGAGGTGCGCGAGCCCGACTTGTTCACCACCGAGATCTCCATGCAGTTGGCCTGGAACGTCTGCTCGTCCACAAACTCGTGATTCTGGCCGAGGAGGAGGAAACGGGGGGGTTAAAATTCGGCGTTAATGGGCTGCTTTTCGACATCAGCGTTTGCATGTGCTAAATAACGAGCAAAGATGCTTCCGAGAAAAAAAATAGATGAGGGGGAAAATGAATTATCAGGGGAGTGGGACTATATTGGTCCAGATGTCCGTATTAAGTGCCATCTGTGTGAACACAACTGTTATCCCTGTGACAAATGAGCAGAACTTGAAGGTCAGTGTGGAGACGTGTTGCGGCTCCTGCCAGCAGGTGGCAGGGGGACACCGTGAAGGATCGGATGCCGTCCCCTGAATCGCCTCCTCCTGCTTCTACTCATCTCTCCATTATCTACAATGCACGTCAAGAGGCCTAATGTAAACATTTGTGCAGCCATCTGAATGCTATATGTAACCTTTATGTGGCAGGAGAATCCCCCACTGAGTCACTGCTGCTTCTGCGTGTGTCTGCTGCAGCGGCTAATGGAAAAAAAACAAAAAAAACAAAAAACAAAAAAAAAAACAGTGCCACTGTATGTCACCAACGTTAAAGAGGCTCTTTCATCTCTAAATTATAGATAACATAAAACAAAGCAGGCTGTTTTTGTTTGGAGGAAAACAAGGTAACTGGCAGGCAGTCATGTTATCTTGAGCACGTTTCTAAAGAAAGAAAAAGCGACGACACGTTTCCCAATCCCATTTATGGCTATTTTTAACTGGCCCTGCATATAAAATAGATTCTACAGTACGAACATGGGCGGAAACGTCACTTTGTTTCTATTTTTATCTTCCTGTAACAGGTTGGCGCTACTGAAAACGCAGCCCAGACTGCAGGAGTGATACGGTTTTACATCAAAGTAAAACCGTTTCATCATCAACCAGAGTTTGATGAAAGGTTTTTTTTATTATTATTATTATTATTATTTTACAGATGGAAATGTGAGAAGTTTGTTACTCTAACAGGAAAATTGGAAGATGCAAAAGTTATTGCTTTCCACTGGACACACGTTTTAAAGTTACTAATCTCTTTAGATATAATTTCAACATCAACATAATATAGTCAGTTAAAGTCAATTAATCAAGATAAAGTCTATCAAGCTTTTTGTGTTCACATGCCTCCGGTGATGTCACATAAAGCTCATGGCAACCGAGCAATGTTCTCGTCAGTACATCTGTTCTGTTTTTTTCTTTTTCTTTTCCCCTTCAAAGATGTTATACTGCATTCTATCCGGCTGTTTCCTGCAGATCTGCTACATCGTTGTGAAAATAATCGCCATGAAAAGACGTTTTATGCTAACGGCTAGCCCTCCTGTACAAGCTCACACTATCGCCGCCATTCCAGTTTATACCTCGGAGAGAGAAAGACTGAGCTAAAGTAAAATAAATTCAAGCTCATACTTATGACGGAAAACATCAAAGGAAAAATTATTCAGTAAAGAAAATCGATTTATGAAAGGTAAAATCCTCACCACCCCTTGAACAACCTGTTCCCTTCCTCGCCTGTGGAGGCGCTGCACCAAGAAACAACATGAAAACCTCTGAAGAAGACACTGAGCACAACTCTCCATGAAATGTGCACAAAAACGCAGCGGCGGCAGATTTTAGAGGTTGTAGGATTTGTTTTGCCTTTGGTAAAAGACTGCAAGCCATTTCTCATTTTTCTGATAGCGCTAGACTCGCACGTTTGTTTTGGTTGTATTTACCCAGAATGCTCTGCGCTGTAGTCAGATTCCTGCTTCTGGTCCACCTGCAACTATACATTCAAACCACATTACAGTTCACTGCAACCGAACCAAAACCTAGGTTTTTGGGTGGACCAAAGTTACATATTTTGGGTCCACATCATAGTTTGATTGCTCATTCACACCTCCACAAACAAATCGGACTTTCTAGACAAATGACTAAACTAGATGACTAGAAGATGTATGTTTTTTATTTTACAAAATCCTGCTGCAGAAATCCAGTTTTAATTGTGCATTTACTTGTATTGCCAGTGAGCACTTGTTGTACATCCAAACAAAAACCCCTGGATAATATCTTTAACTAAGAAAACAATTCTTACCGTCGTCTTCTCCAAGCAGTGCAGCAAGTGATGATGTTGGCTCTCAAATGGAGGGCTGGCCGACTTTCCAACCAGGGCTTTTCCTGCTTCCTTAGAGGCCTTGGAAAACACAAAGTTAAAACAGACAAAGACAAGAAGAAGAAAAAGAAGCTGCAGTGTAGATGAGCAGACTCAGACTATAAAATGAACAACCAGTTGCAGTGATGCGGTGGGGGGGAAAAAAAAAAAAAAAAAAAAGGCAAAGCACTGAAGTTAAAATGCTGATCTGTAGCTTGGCAGCCAGTCTACTGCATTAGATGCATGGAAACTTGGGCTGACTGCAGAGATGCACGGAGAGATCGGCCGGTGACCGGAGTTGGGTGATTTTCAGACAGATTAACTCTTGACTGGTGTCCTGGCAGGCAGAAACTATTTTCTTAAAGACGACTGAATGGATCCAAACAAGAGTTGGACTTCAAAATGTGTGAATGTTTTTGCTTCAGTGTCATTTACAAATGTGACGTGCTCGTTTGGTGACGTCGATAGTCATCACCAATTAAAAGCACCAAGGTTTTAAAAGTTTACGTTTCAAAAACAGCAAAAGTCTTCTATGATACAATTTCTATGGTTAAAATAGTTTTTATTGAGATGCAACAAAACGATTAAATAGCAGCGGTGCCTCTACTCCACCACTGCCTGTGCACTGCCACTCAGCTAGCTGAAAGGCGACTAATCAAATTTTTCACACTTGCTGCTGCAAAAAATATTCACACTTCCAAGAAGTAAACGTAAGGAACAGCAGCGTTTAGCTTGACAGCAACAATAAAATAAGGTTTTTATTTTTCTGCTTCAACTTGGAATCATGTCATGTTTACTTTTGATATTCCATTCAAAGTCTATACAAGTCATCCATAGTCATGCTAACATAAGATGCTAACAGCAATTTATACAGTGTTAACCCTGGAAACATTTTGTCCGCGACAGACACCGTGTGTTGTTGCCTCTGCTCATTGTGTAATTAGCTGGTGATTAGTGAGGCTGCGAAGGTTGAAAAAATATTTTTAAGGTTGTTATTTAAGGAATTAGGCTCAAAATAATTCGCACCCTTGCTAGATGTCAGGTTAAAGTAATCTTCTAATTGTATTTTTATTTATTTACTAGTGTTTTGAAGTGGGTCAGGCAGATTCCCAACTTCAATCTGATAGAGAATTTATGAAGGGAATTAAAAATTAGAGTGACGGCATGGAGGCCTTCCAACCAGACTCATCACCACAGACAAATTAAAATATCAACACAGCAATTAAGTTGACTTTTATTATTTACAACAAGAGTACAAGTATCATTTGGCAAGACATTTTTAATAAAATATGAATAAAACAGATCATTTTTGTTTAGAAAGTTGATACAATTATTTTGTTTCGTTGCATTTTCAACGACATGAGATGGACGGATTCAAGTTGGCTGAATGAGATCATTTGAAAATTAAACTAATAGAATGCAGAGTCTGCTAAAGTTGGTGCCAACAATTCAAAGCATTACGAAACCTCCCCAAATTGACCAAAAAGCTCAGATCGTTGCATCTCTAGTTGAAGTGTAGGATTGTTTGTTTGTTTTTCGCACAAAACGGACGATGACAGTCGAATTCAAGCTAGGCTCATTTCAGAGCAACAGCAGTGGCGCACCTCGACACAGATCAAACACATTGTTCCAAACAAAGCACACATTTCAAACTAAAACTCCACCACACACTGATAAAAAAAAACAAAAAAAAAAAAAAACCCACAAAACCACATGTAGTTGAGAAAAATCTGCGCGCCGCTGTGATGGCCGAC